GGGGTTGCCACGAAGGAATCACATTTTCCCTCCAGACGATGATTATTTAGATTATCCGTGATCGTCGTGTAATCTCGGCGCAAAGAGCCCGGCCCCCGCGCCGCGGCATCTCCCGGCAATCGCTTTGATGACATTCGTCGTCGAAGTTGAATCCCCCGAGGCTGTTTCGCCTCTTATAGCGGAAACTGTACCGAGACTGCCGTCGCTCGGTTCGATTAATTCTGGTTATTTGCGTCGAGCCGATCGGCTGGAAACGATCTGTTTTTGTTTGTTTCTCGGCTGCCTGAACTTGAATATCGTATTGTTACCGATGCTCTCCGAACGGGAGAGAGAGAGGCAACGAATAGTGCGGTTATTAATTGCGACAGTGTCGAGAACCGGGATCCGTTCTTGCCTTTAGACAATGGAAACGCGTTATCGTATTATTACACGAGAGGTCTCTTTCGCTATTAATGACCTCCTATGGTCTTCATTATCGGTTGTTGCGCTTTAATTAAGCTCGAAGGAACATAATGTTCTTCCGACACCCTTTCTCCATTGGAAAGAGAATCTAGCAGGATGAAGAATCCCGATTTAGAATTCGGCAACCATCGTCGATGCGAAGTAGAGAGTTCCGAGAGGATCGTAAATTGGCGAATAATGGCTGGTAGCGTCATAAAACATTTCTGCACTTTAACGTCCGTCCGGAAAACGACAGCGGTGTCCGTGTATGAGGCACCGCGTGCGACTCATTCCCATTTGGACGTTGAGAAATTAACGGCGGGCTTCCGGCTCGGGGTCCGTTTCCGGTGTCAACGACGGACCTCTGCTGAAAGCGAGAAACTGCCGCGTCGAATCAACGCCTCCGGACGCCGAACGGAACACCCTCCGCGATAAAATAGCTGGTAACAATGATAACGACATCTTTATTGCGCGCAAAGTGGAAAGAAGAAATGATGGAGAAAATCGTATAAGCGATGAGCCAGCTCTGCGTCCGCAGTGTTCTTTGTAGAATCTCTTGGGGATTGGAATCTCACAGATGAGAATACAACGGCCTTCTACAGCTATCGCGTAGAATCGATTAGTTTGAGAATATAATCATAACTGGTTAAAAAGTTAGAATTGGTAGGACCTGATTTATTATGATAGTATTTTTTCAAATTTTTACAACGATTAAAGGGCTTTAATATAAGTTGCTTTAAAAGATTTACTGTCTTCTATCAAAGGTATTTTTATAGGACTTATGTTGGTTCGTTTGGCGTAAAAGTATCTTCTCAGAGTAATCTATAGAATTTTTTTAAAAATGTTTTTTTTGGAATCTTGTTCTGTGAAAGAAGATGACCACGATACCTAGTTTACTAATATACCATATTACGACAGTAAATATTTTAATTTTTCGTTATAATTATAATTTTTCGAATTTTGTAAAAACACTGATAGGATTTATTATCAAATTTTTAACGGTTTGGCGATTCTAAAGTTGTTAAAGCAATCGATATTATTTTATTTTCTAAATTAGAAAACATATTTAAAATATTAATCGTAACTTAAAGTTATAATGCAGTGGTTGGCAAATATTGAATTAATCATTTGTTCCTTATTTGTTTATTGATAAGAATATACTTGTAATTTAAAGTGTTATAGTCAATATACTTGTCTTCTTGCACCCTTAATTTTCTGTATGAAATGGGCAGTTCGTTACTTTCTAATTGTACAAATCCAACACTGTTACTATTAAATCTTGGAATAGAAACATCTTGAAAGATATTAATACGGCTCACTCCGGTTTAGTGCCATTTTCTGGAATAAACGCAGGACTTTATAGAGTCGGATTTTCCAGATGTGCACTCAGCCGCGGTTATCTGACCATCCGCGTGGAACTTGAACGATACAAGTGCACCCCCGGATTATTACTACCTAGAAAGTTCCCACTTTCCTACTTACAAAAATATTTAGTAAAAATACTATTTAAATAGTTGATGTGAACCGAAGAATAATCTAAAAAATTGCAACATCATCTTTATTTAATTATTTACAAGTTAGTTCTTTGATTTTAGATGGAATTCATAAACTATACACTGTTACAAATATTTAAGAACTAAGAATTAAAAGAAGAAAGAAGAATTCCTTCAGTTTGAAAAATTGTCGAGACAATATTGAATTGGCCAAAAAGTCTATTCAGAAAAGACCAAAGAAATGTTTTACTTCGACGAATTTATTTTTTATTAAACTCTGTCTTACACATTTCGTACAATGTTCTGCTGATTTTCAGTGTCTTTATTTATTTACAATGTACATTCGTGTAAAATAGAAAAATTATTTTATGTAATTACGAAAGACGAAAATATTTAACTGTTTTTACTTACAACATTCATCCTATTAAATATACTCTCACACAAACAGCATTCTACTTCGCAATCATCTTCCCTCCAATTCCAACGCACACAAAAATTTCCCTCATTTCATCACGCACCGCAAATTTCATCGAGATAAAGTATTCTCGTCTTGTCCGGTCCATATTGAAGACACCAAAAAAAAAGAAGAAACACGGGAGACTGAGAAAGATCCGCGTCGTAGATTCGAATAGACGATTCTGAGAATCGTTCGTGCGTAACAGATATCCAGCCCCGAAATCAACCTCGTTACGAGATATATGAACGCAGAACGTAGAAGAAAAGGGAAGAATCAGAAGGAAAGTACGGTGATTCGCCAGAATACAAGGCGATGTACCTTCGAGAGCATATAAGAAGAAGAGAGAATGATAGCGAACGTGAAAGGAAAAGAAAGAGAGAAGAAGGTAATCGATATGCAGAGTTTTCCCAATAAGACTGGGGAAAAAGTTATTTTATTTCTGGCCGCTCTTTCAATTTCTATCACTTGGTCTTTCCATGTTGAACCAATGCATCGCGTGTACGAAGAAGGGTCCACGGAAAGAAAGGTATATCTAGAAAGGGGTGAACGGGGGTTGGAAAAAGTGTAGCGTTCCTTTTTCGCAGCCGCGGGCCCCAGACAAGGCCGTTCCGTATGCAAAAGATAGAACGTGCGCCGCAATCTGAACGAAATCTCGAAACGCAATTTCCTGGACAGCCGGCCGAACGGACGTCGCGTCGCGTCGCGACATTTCGCCTGCTCCGTTCCACCCTGCTGCCCGTCCGCACCGATCGATGAGAACATCGATCTTCGAGTCGACCAATGCAGTTTTAACGACGCATCGATACAGCCACCGCGCGCCTGCGAAGCTCGTTGTTTTCTCACCTAGCCGGTTTCGCGCTTGGAAATTTGATTCGACTTTCTTCGAGCGGAAACGTTGATAAATCGTCATCAGAACGGCCGCGTATTTTTCTCCCGACGACAAACGAGATATCTTATGACGGCAAGGAGCGGGAGAAGTCGGTCTCCTTAGAGACAGCGCATCCCCGCCCTTTATTTTCACGCCTTTCAGTGCATTCCATCTTCGCTGCGTTCTAACCCGTGACCGATTACGCTTCTAACATGGTGTTATGTAACAGTCACCTAAGATCGACAAGTTCGTTGATTATTTTCTCGTTGCTGCTTGGAAGTCCTGTGAATGTCGAGTATAACTATTCGTTTAGATCGAAATATTTATTCAGATGAACCGAGGTAAGTTTAGGATGGGTCGACTATTTTCATAAAATTTTAAGCGTGTTAAAATTAAGCTTATAAGTTTATTGCGATTTTGCAATAATTGTCGATGGGAGATATGATATTGATTGGTTTGCTTTAAATGAGATACATATTCTTGCCACGCTTCTAGTTATTTTGAAATATCTATATTGGCGATCTATTCCAGTGATCGGACTATTCCGTACTTAAATATGTATCATCTAGAATGATTAATGTTTGGTTTCTGATCAAGAAATAGAATGATTGTATTTGATAGAGGTTTTTGGCGGAAATGTCATTAAAAATTCGTAATATCGTAATTCACGTGACAAGTAGAATCCAATACCCGCTAATGAGTAAGTTTTTATAGAGGTTCAATGCAAGGAGCGTCGCCAGAGTTCATCGAACCGGATTGGCCAACGTGGGTCGCTGTAATTTTAGACCCCAGGTCCATTTTCCGCCAGAAACTGTCCATCAGATAATTCTGATGAGGCTATTGTTCAACTAGAAGAAGATTTCAGTCATTACGTAACATTATGCTGCTCCAGCGAAATTGCTGGACGTTTGAGAATACCGACTTCCGTTCTTGGTTGTCTACAATCAACCCCTATCAAGATACTGTCAAACGGATCAATAGTTTTATTCTTCGGAAAATAGTCCGTTCGTGGATTACTTGCAAAGTAAGGGAATAATATTCCTTAAGAATGATTTGTCGTTAACCCCCTACAGCTAGAGCGAATTCTGAGAGAATACGCTGATATTATCTCTTTTATTTTTTTCTATTTCAAACTTAATTAGGAAATTTTATTTCGTCTACATTTTTGAAAGAAATTATTAGGAAATAATTAGGAAAATTAACTTAAAGTTAGGAAATTTTATTTCATCTACATTTTTGAAAGAAATATGATCATTTCTGTAATTTTTATCAAGAAATAAACGTTTTTTGTCATTGTTTGAATAACCAATAATGGCCAATAAAAGATGCTTTACACTTGATTGGAATTGCTTTACTATATTAAGTAAACAACCTTCCCTTTCACTTATGCAATTATAATTCACTAATCACGGAAGATATTGGAAGAAGATAACATAAATCTCATATATTTCTGAAGATTTATGTACTTCCGAGCAAATATTTATTAAGAAATAATATTTCGTTATTTAAAACTATATATTACCTTATGCTTTATAGTAATTGTATAACTATAAACGAAATTAAAATAACGTTTGATTAAGAGTCAAGTATTTCATGGATATTTAACATTTAAAATTTTTCGTAATAATCAATTTCACAAAAATCACATCAGTTATATTGCGCAACAGTATATCTTCACTATATTTATTAATAACACTCTTCAAACTATTATTCATGAAACTGTTCATTTTCTGATTTCCAGGTAAAAGTTATGTTAAAAGTGTCACCTGGCGAAGGAGGAAGCTTCTTCAATGCGGACAAGAGGAAGAAACAGGTGACACTGGTTGATCCAACGGCCGGACAGTCGTCCTTGGCGGAAGATCGCAGGCCGACCGTGGCGGCGCCAAAAATGTTTGCCTTCGACGCGATATTTACGGAAGAAGACTCTCAGGTAAGCGTTAGAAGTACCTTCGAATCCTGTCTGCCGGACACAAAGCGTGTTTCATAATTCACGAACGTCAATTTCGGTCGCGATCGTCGATTCACCTTCGACACCTTGGGAAATTCACTGAAGCGTCGGCTCTTTTCTCTCTTGTCCGCGAAGAATAGTTTCTCCACGGCCCTTCGATACCTTTCATCGAGGAGCACGGAAAAGCCAGCACTAGGTAGATAAATAGGAAAAGAGAAGAATTCTGGAGGACATTACGGAGTAAAGGGGGCAGAAAGTCAGAACGTTGAAACGTCTATGTGCTCCGTCGTCAACTTACGTTCATCCTAGAGACGCGGGAGACGTCCCTGCCGGGCGCATAACTAAACTAATTTCCCGACCTCTAAACTCCACCTCCCGACAGGAAAATCCAGCCCCCAACCCACCATCCCTCGGGCGAATGTTGCTTCTTGCCCATGACTTCTCTTTGGCTCGAGGAAATCGAATTGAACGTTGATAGTCATGATTATTTTTGAATTTGCGTGACCGATCCTTCGGTTGGCGAGAACATTTAACTGACCTGATTCCTATAACCGTCTTCTTCTTTCAAGAAAAGTTTGATGCAATTTATTCTTCGCTCAATTGAGGGATTTTTTCATTTATATGAATGATTCTTGTTTAAATACTGATTACGATTATTACTTAAAGTTTGGAATTATTTATTTGGTGAGAAGATAACGTTGACATTTTAATTAAATTTATATATGCAGTTATAGACAAATGATGATATTATAATTATCAATTCATGTTTATCTCAAATTATTGTTTCAGACTATTCTATCTATTTTTCTATTATCATTTCTACTCGATTTATTTATTTTATTATTAATACCCCTCGAGATATATAAATTAAACAAGAAAGTTAATAAAACGTTGTCGCTTGTTGAAATAGAGGTTATACCAGATAATCCAATAGAAAACACATTTGATATACTTACTAATACTAGAATTTAATAAAAATAACGAATCGGTCTCAAATATTAACTCTCCCATTTGTCAACGCCGTAAATGTACGTCGATCAAATACATCTAGAAATAAAGTCTATTATCCTCCAATCATTTCACTTTCTTCCATTTTCGACACGAATCATTCCCGCCCCACATTCGAAAACACCATCAGATTACGTGGGCTATTAATTCAATTCCAACGAAACATTAATTTAGACAAACACGAACTCTACCCGGAATCCGTGTATTATGCCCCGGTATATACATTTCGGCGACATTTTAATAGAGTATCCCGCGGACCATTCCATCAAATCCTCTGATTATCCTTCATCCTCCGTTAAATCATCGTTCACTTTTCGTTACCGATGTTCTCCCCCCTCCTCCACAAGCAGCCCGTCAATCTATTCAGGATAAATATAAGAGAATATCCACCGCACGTGCACCCATCAAGACGATCGCGATCGATCAGCGTCTCGCGTCTTTCGTCGGTGTGGCCCGCGGTCTTCGCTGCATCTTTCCCCCGTCCTCGTAGCGAATTTTATTGCGTGGCATTGATGAACGACATCGCCACGGAAAATGTCATCGGGGACCACGGAGTGCGTTATAATATCGCGACGTACCTACCTACGTGTACGTGCATGTGCACCGGAGATATTTCGGTGCTCTCCGGGGACATTATCGAACGTCGGATTCAAATGAGCCCGGAGCTACTCGGTTTTCCCGGCTCTCCCTCTCTCCCGCCCCTCTTTCACCCTCGCCCTCTCGTCCCTCTCGCTACACCACGCGTGCACGACTCTCGTATCTCTGTTCCCCGCTGGCAGCTAGTCCTCTCCAGGGACCAGCCCGTCATTCCTCTCATTCCTCTATCCGGTCTCTCTCCGCCAGTCCCCTGGCCCTTTGACGCAGCCCCACACCCTCATCCGACTGTGTTTAGAAGAACCATAGAAACCAATCGATTGATTCGATCAAATGTCCACGTTCGCCGCGACGATTGTCATCGAAAGTCACAATGGCCCCTCTCCTTTTTCTCCTTTCCCTTTTTCCTCTCCTTTTTTTT